TTTTTAAAGAAACCGCATTTTTTGGATTATTTTAACATTTAATTTTTTTTTTTTTTTTTTTTTTTTTTTTTTTAGATTTCTTTCTGTTAAATGTAACGATGTCCTGCTTCTAGCTAACAAATTACAATTCTGGGATTTAAAACTGCAAAATCCCACCAAACCAAAACAAGACAAGACACATTTTTGTTTTGTTTTGAGAAAACGATGTTTAATACATTCTTAAACGCTTGTTATTTTCAGAAGGTACTATTGTTCAGACAAACCAGCCTCATCGGAAAGCATATTCCAATTCATTCGACACGACTGCGTACTAGTTTGGCTAGTTTTCAAAGTAAGGTTGTATAAACCCACAGATGTTTATCTTGTTGCCGAAAATATTTGGGATTTTCCCTGGTTTTGATGATTTTTGTGTGGTTTCCATCCTGAAAACCTGCGAAGAATTGACTAAATATCAAAAGCTTCCGAAGGACATTTCAGTCGTACTTGAGCTTTTCGTCTTTTTAAACTAGCAGAATAAGTCTCTTGAGTTTTCAATTCTCAGTCAAAATTGAAAGCGGCACTTATAGGTGTCACTAATTTCTAAGTTTATGTAGTAGTCCTTACAGTATTGTAAACTGATGAACCTGCAACATATCAGGCAAAAGTAACCAACATTCATGTGGCTTTCAATTGTAAAACCCAAAGATTAACAAAACTCGTTTCCTTTCCGAATTACCGTCTTCAGTGCATAAAATCGACACGCGAGCATTCCTAATATGTTGCATTTTCCACATCACTCACCGGTTACATGTGTAATGGGAATCCACAGCTTTAGAGAATCCATGACATTTCTGGATGCAGTGTAATTTCTCATTAAACATGCCAAGGAAACCTCTTAGTAATTACAATAACGAAATGACTCAATCTGATGGAAAGAGGCTGTAACGTTTCTATTTATTTATTTATTTATTTATTAGAAGATATTTAAGTCCCCGTGTTTAATTAACTTTTCATGTAAAACGCCATTCCATTCAAATGATTGTCGTGCTCAGGGTAATTTTAACGTTCATATTTAAGTTGGTAATGAAAGGGAGAAACATTTAACAGATGCTGACATCCATTTTCTTTATTTGCTTGCTGTTTTTGAAGCATTGTCTTTCATGTCGCTCCGCTGATGTGCTTTCAGACTGAAGTTTTACATGATCGGTCTCCATGATGATGAGCTGAACTTCTCAAACAGTCATTTTGATGCGCACCAAGAACGAATACTTACAACATTGCCAGTGCTAACAGAGAGGGATATGTCCTTAACAATTCATGTTTCCACAACAACAGCTGTCGCAATGTTGAGGAAATTAAAGAAGAAAAAGCTACAAAAGTAAAACTTCTAATGTAAGAAACTACTTCTGATGTGACAATTATTAGAGCGTGACTTTTTTTTTTTAAGTGAAATCACTTTTTCATGGTTTCGTCTCAACTTTCGCTCCTTTTATCAGAGTGAAGGCCTGTTTAAAGGACTTCACCAAACACAGTTTAATCAGTTTTCACCATCTAAGAAATTCGTGTCAAGCAAATTGGGCATTTTGTATCGATCGTCAGGTGTTTATTGCTTTTCTGTTCCCGATAGGTTATTGCCCTGTTTGTTCAGCAAGCTACTTCCCTGAAAATAAATATGCCATCACTAACAAGAGGCTGCTGATGTCTCGCCTGCAATCAGGCCATCTTTATGGAACGGCATGCTGCTACGGCCTTTAACCCCTTTAGCTAAAACTCTCAAAACGCCTACATGTTATCCACGCACCACAATAGCCATCAGAACAGAACCGGCCTTCTCCATCAGGCAGTTCACGTTTTCTAAATCAGATGCTGTTACCCCAACAGACGACAGGTTGCTCTTCACAGCAGTCTTCTAGAAGATTTGAAGCATCTTGAAAGACCTAAGGTTCCTCAAGAAGGACAGTCTGCTCTGTTCCTTCTTGTAGGCGACTGCACCGTTGCGTCTCCAGGTCCAGTCTGTTGTCCAGGTGAACGCTGACGCATTTATATTCCTCCACCACCTCCATTCCTTCTCCCATGATGAGAGAATAGCATTTGACTTAACTCCGTTTCTCTTCAAACCTATAACCGTCTGCTTCGTTCGGCTCACATTGGAGATAAGATGATTGTTCCCACACCAAGACACAAAGCAGTGACACACTTGACCACTGCAGAGTCCTCAGGATTTCTGTAATTTCGGTTTGTTGGTTGGTATTTATTGTCACTGTTTCATGTATTTCTTGGTCAAGTCGGTTATGTGAAACCGGAAAGACTTTGCGTTGCTGAGCAGAGTAGCTAAAGCTGGTAAAAATGTACAATTGGCATATTCTAATCCTTCAAAACCCGAACCGTAGCAGTGAACGAGCACAAGTTTAGTATATTCTTTTTTTAATGAACATTGTTCTGTTACTTTAAGGCGTGCTGTTTTGTGGTTTTGCTCCGTTAACTCAAAAATGACACGCAGGAATTCAAAATGACTGGCAACCCGAGGACATGCTGCAGGAGTTTTGTTGATTGTCGCTTCAAAGCTGTATAAAATGGTGATGCTAAAGAAAAGGATAAATTTACCACAGCTATGTTTTTTTTAACTCAAGCTTTCCAGTCAGCTTCTGGATGTTTTTCATTTGTTTTTTAGTTTTTCTTTTTCTTAGATTATCCTAATATGATAACTGAATTTTCCGTAATACCGTGAAATATAGACTTCATGACTGTTTACTGACAGTTATCGCTTCTCCTTTGTATTTGGCTCTCTGTGAAGGAAAGCGAGCCCTGCTGTGAGGCGTTTGTTGGTGCCATCCCTCTTTAGCGCGCTCTGTTACAGCTGCGGCACACCGTGTGTCATTACCTGTGCAGATGAGGCCATCATGTTTGTCACACTCTCGGTCGTCGCACTCGCAGTGCTCTCCTGACACCCACCACTCTTGGCGAGAGCAAATGCACTGGCCACAGTGACAGGAACCTGCAACACGCACAAAGCACACACACACACACACACACACATGTAGTTTGATTACCGTCACTGTTCAGGGTTTTGAGTGTTTGATATTTTCCTTTCTTCTTTCTTTTTTTTTTTTTTTTTGCCACCCACTTGGCACATTATTATTCCCCCCCCCCAATAAAAGCTGTTTTGTTTAATCCTCTGTGATTTTTTTTTCACCTTTTCTTTTTCAGAGAAGATTAATGGAGTCGGTTAGAGTGGACAGAGATATTCCCCGAGGAAACAGCTTCTAATACAGTTTTACCACCAGGATACCAATCCACCCACACGCTGCACTTCCTCTCTCCTCCATCAGTTTACATTTCGTTTCTCTCTCTAGGGTAGCAACAGAATAATAACATTTTAAGAATTGGGAGAGAGAAACAAATCTGGCTATCAGCCTTCTTTTTTTTTTTATACCCAGGGGTTCAGCTTTTTCTTTTTCATTCACCACAGCTTTTTTACTTGCATGTGAAGGGGCCACAGCAGAAAAGGTAAGGCAGCTGTAGAGAGGAGAGGAAGATAAAGTAAAATAGCTAAGGAAGAGGCTGGTCAAGAAAAGAAGATAGATCTGGCTTTTAAAAGAAGTGGAGCATGGAGAATAAAGACGCTCATCTTCATTTCCCAGCCCTGCTCAGCGCTGGCCTCTCTGCGGTCGACGTTTTCCTCCGGATTCGCCGCCACACAACGGAGAAGCTAGTCTGTCGTGTGGCGCCATTAGTTGCTTAATGACACAAAGTAGAATGCAGCGACAGTTTGACGCACTTAATTCAAGTACATCTGGCAAAAATGGGGAAAAGCCGGATTAGCTGCTCTGAAGTTATATTTTTAAACTGAATAACTGCGTTCGAGGTGTCAAAAGTGGAAAAGGGACCTTCTACACCTTGCGAGTGCACGAGCAGCCCTTTCACATTTTGCCACCACAGATTCCAGTATGTGTTAATGAGATGAAGAAACAGAAAGCAGCGCATGAAAGCAACACAAACTTCACATAACTGTTTGAAAGTTTGACACGCATGTAAGAAATGCAGTTTAAACGAGATTCAGGTCAGAAATGAAATGCATCTCTTTGAACATTCGATGCAGCGCCGACTGTCCAATCATTTGTTCATAGAAATAGTAATGCAAAACTGCAAACCTACCAAAATATGATAGTCAAGCTACACAAGGAAACCATTAATTAGCGGAGCAGTTCAAAGACCCGTTGTAACTCTGGGTGTCTAGTTTTTAGATTATCACGAGATGTTAATGAGGAACAGCACACACAGAGGGGAAACTGAACGTTTTTGACCAAAATGTGCAACACTATGCCTGACAGAAAACTAACGCTGCACATCGACCTTAACGCAGCATCACCAGTGTCAAAATATGGTGGTGGCAGCATCATGCTGAGGAGGTGCTGCAGAAAACGTAAGACTGGAACGGAGGTTCCTCAGCAAATGAGCAAAACTTTGACACAAGTTTGGTCTGTTGTGCAAAATTAGCAGAAAATAATGACATTTTTGTGACTATGATGTGACAAAATGTGGAAAAGTTTACAAGTCATGAAAACTTTTGCTGTAAGTGTAGTTTTTCAACCTATCTATAGAAGAACTTTAACATAAAAGTGACCTGGCTTTTCCAAATTGATTTATATCAAATCTTATATCATTCAACAAATTTATATAATATAAAGTTTGTGAGAATTAATTTCACTCCAGAAGTCACTGACATGGAGAAAAAAAAAATAAACTCAAGAAATTATAGTTTCACTTTCTTTTACCCATAACCGTAACAGCTGATTTTTTTATTCAGTCACAACAATAATTGTGTCTAAAATTAAACATCAACATTCATACAGTCATGTTTAAATGTTTACAGTCCACATTTAATTCAGTTTATATGAGTGTTTTCTACACACAGTAACAAGATTGTCAACTGCGTCAAAAGAAAAAAACGACTTTCCTTTAGAGCACACATCTGATCTTAATCTCAGAGCGATTAAGATCAGCAGTGTTTCTTCGTAAAACAACGCTATTGGATTAATTATTTGGCATTAATAACCTGGAATCTGTAGTTAATTTTCTGTTGCACAGTATGAGATCAGCAGTCACAGCGAACAGGAGCTCCTGGATTAAGGCAATTCAACTAAGCTGTAATTTTGAAATACATGCTGAAGCTCACAAAAACCCAGACGGTTTTTAATTAACTGTGTCTCTTAAATCTTGCTTAGAGTAAGAAAAAAAGCAACAACAAAAACGCAGGCATTAACACATTGTAGGCAAATTGTATATGTTGTTTCATTATTAAGGTTCTCTACACTATCTTGCAAATTACCCTTTGGGGAGAAATAAAGCGTTTCTCCCCAAAGGAGAATGAGAGACTATGGCCATACATAATGGAGCCCATTAAGGGGGAAAAATCAATATCACCACCCAGACTCAAAAACAGTCTAGTAAATACTGTGCAATCTGCACAAAAGTTACACAGCAAATTCTTATAAAACAAAAAGAGAAAAAAAAAACTTCTATTATAACTAATGAAGACTTTCAAACCCTCACATAGTCATTTTGTGCATTACTTTTAGACTTCATGTAGCTCAATGCGCAGTTGGCAGCACCGTTGCTTTGCAGCAGGAATGACGTGGGTTAGCCTGTGTGTGCATGTGCTCTGTGCATATATGGGTGGATCTTCAGAATTTAACTGGAATTAAAGGTGATCAGTTCATAATAAGCCCTAGTCATCAGTACCAGTCAGTGTTCAGAGGAAAAAATAATAATAAATCAGATTCGACTTTGTGCAACTTTTCGGTCATTGTCTACCGAAAGACCGCCGCTCCGCTCTCCTGCTGCTAAACAAGTTTGGGATAATGTTCGGGTTCTTTGTGCTTTTAATTCTGCAAAACAGACTCCAGTCTTGGTGGCCTTTTGTCCAATATTTCCTGCTAATGCAGCTAACTAACCCTGCAAGTTAATGCAAAGCATTTTCTCTTATACTCTTCAGCTCATCGAAAATCGCAGTGATCACTGACACATTCACCCTTGTTCACGAGTGACATTCTTCAACAACATATGGCTGATTCCCTTTCTTTTGACATTTAATAATACAATGTTGCTTGCAGACAAATGCTAGCTTAAAGGGCTGAAAGAGAGGGGTGGGGTGGGGAGCGGGGGGTGTAATTCCTATTCACCTTTTCCACTGCAAACGACTCCATCGTCTGTCTCGCAGAGTTCCTTGCTCTGGGCGTCACTCATGTCGCAAGACCTGGGAAACTGGCACAGGTTCCCAAACCAGCCTTCCTCGCAGATGCACCGTCCACATGAACAGTAACCGTGACCTGGCAGTGAAAAGCAGAAGTGCCTTTGTTAAAAGGAGACAGGATGTGGTGAGGGACCATGAGATAAAAACAACCAGAAATGTAAAAAAAAAAAAAGAAGAAGAAGAAGAAGAAATGTCTGCACAGGTAGTCGAAGACAAATGAAATACCTCTGGAAAGGGCAAAAAAAAAAAGTTTTAAAGCTGATAAATACAAAGAGCTGACAGCACTAACATTGAACCCTGACACTAATAGGCAGTGCAGGGAGGAAGAGCTGCAGGGAGATGAGAGAGACGGAGAGAGCTTATTGTATTTCCCCAAGGGGCATGAAAGGAACTGTCATCGCTGGTCTTGTGCTGTCCTTAATAAATCTAATGCTTCAGACAGATGAAAAACAAAGAATAGAAATAGCGGGCAAAAAAACAACAACAACAAAAAAAAACATCCAGCATATGACACTTTGGAAGCCAAGAAGGTTCATTAGGTTGAGAGAGGCTGTTGTTTGCTGCTTTGCTGTAATTGCTTCTAGCATCGTTTGACAAGAACCATAAAAATATACGTCAAAGCTGACAAAGATGCAGTCACTGCTGGAATATTTGGATTACAAAACAGTAATTCTGACATTAATCGTTTTGTCATTGTGTCGTTTTATCATTAGTACTGCGTCAACATGTTGATGCTTGAATAGCTCTGGTTGGTAACGGGCTGGTCAGAAACCAAAATTCTTTTTTTTTTTTTTTTCGAATCAGTGAAAGCATCATATGTATTACCTATACACTAACAGGTTTCACTAATGACAAAGCAGTTTGGGGTGAAAAGTTGTTTCTTTAGGAGGAAGACTCAGTTTTCTTTTGTCAATATGATTGACGTGTCTAAAAATAAAATAATGGGAAGCACAAAAGGTGTTGGGAGCTTTTTTAAGAAGTGAAATTCTGTCTCCAACCGAGGCATGCTGCCTGTCCCTCCAGGCTGCTGCTTTTAAAAGGGGACTGAGTCTTCAGCAAATAGCAGGGAGTTTGTTTTACAGTGAAGTTTATCCCTTTTATCCTTCTGAAAAGTTCAAGTTGACTCATCATGGACATTTTAGAAAACTCCCAGTTAAGGTAAATGTTTGTTATGTGGCATAATTTTACCCAAATGTAAAATGGGTGAGATTATAACTTCTTTACTGGGGAGCTGTGTAACACTGACTGCTCTTTCTCACAAAGTGATGTGATGTCTTATCTGGCATAACAGAAATAATTAACAGCAGGTCATAACAGACAGGCTGTTTGATAGTCTATTATTGCAAAACATGCATAAATCACTTAATGATATACCTTTGCCGTTGTTTGTCTTTTGTAGATTTGTAATTTAAAAAGTCATTGTTTCATCTTGCTGTACATATTTTATTAATCGTCATATTTACCTGCAAGGCAAAAAAAAAAACTCCCCTATTTTATTATTCATATGAGAAATCAGAAAACTGGTATCACCGGGTCAGAGATTTATCAAACTGTTGGTCAGAAAACTGCTGAAAAAAATGCTCATTCATACCTGAACAAGTTTAAAATTTTATGGGAATTTTTGAATACTCTGTACGCTCTGCCTTCTCAAACCCAACAGTCAGCCTCGGGAGACGGGGCTCTCACTGAGCCAGGTCCTGCTGGAGTTTTCATCCCGTTAAAGGTCAGGGGATTTTTTTTCCCCCCTGCTGTCCCAACATGCACACTCAGTATGAGAGACTGCTGCAAAGTTAACAACACAATGCGAGTGCCGGTCAACTACACGCTCCTTCTCCTGCTGTCTTCATACCCTATCCACAACTTTCCATAAGAACTTTTGTTCCTTAAGAACAAAAGTTTCCTTTCTTTCCTTTCTTAAGGAATGTTCGCTGTCATCCGGTGTTTTCTCCCAGTCAACCCACTGATAACAAAGGACAATCTGGACATGTCTCTGTGGGAGAATTACAATTCAATCGCTAACCTTCCACAGCAAAATTATCAAAAAAAAAAAAGGTGTGCTTCACCAGGAAAATAGCTTCTTAATGACAGCCAACCACTTTGACGTGTTTCATTCCGGTTTCTGTCACCGCAGTGACTGCCCGCGTCAAAATGTTCACTGAAATCCACATAAATACAGACTGTGGAAGAACCACAACGTTGGTACTGTTGGATCTCAGCGCAGAATTTGACAGGAACATCAGGAACTTCATTGTGTCAACAGGCAACTTCTGATCTGAAGTCACATGCGTGCTACCTTTAAATCAACGCCAACAACTCACCTGTCTAGAGTTACCTCGATTAATAATAGCTGGAATCAATATGCCTGATGAGTATTTGAAGATGACTATTCTTGGTGACGGCATCTGACTAAATTGTGTTGCTTGTTTTGTGTTTTTATCGTGTCGAGCGCTTCACCTTGTTTCTGAATTTTGCAATACGAATAAACTTCGTTTGGCTCCGTTCACCTTTTGAGTCATCAGAAAAAGTTTGCCTGATGTTCCAGAAGGATAACAGAAAGTCCTTCTCCGTTGCTTCGCCCTGTTTCTCCCAAACCTGAGTAGCAGCTCAGGAAATTATTTCTCCACCTGGTATCTGTGTGCTGTTTCCCAAGCACCATTGTGATAATCATTTTTGTGTGGCGCAAATTATAACAATATGAAAAAAAAAATAAACAAATAAACAGATTTGTGTCGTGAAATGTCACCGAAGTGTAATGAAGACATATGATGTGTTGTCAGCCCAAAAACGGATAAATAATGTCACCCATCACCTCAGGTTTAGGCTGGCGATGTTTGTTTATGCAACACATAACTGGGAACACTCAGTGCATGATTATGAAGTGCCGCAGCGCTCGGATGGTGTTCGAAATGCAAAAAACACCTGTTTACAGCTTCCCCCTACTTGCTCTTATACGCTGTGAGCACAACACACAGTTGGAAAACAAATAAATATTTCAAACGCAGCAATAATGTGATTACTAATTATAAGTGAGTCTAGCAAAATTATAGTGTTTTCCTCTGTGTGCCAGCTGCATTCACTCAGTTATACTTTTCTGTGCTTTTTGCATATAAGTTGTCTTGAGAGTTTTTACATGACAATAAATAATATTTAACAATATATCCAGGGACGTTGCTAGGCATTTTGGGTGCTCTAAATGCAAATGTTTTTGTAGAACTTAATAACTTAATACTTCGGGTTGTTGCCAAGTGTTGGAATGATGATGGTGATATAGAATGACTGAATCAGTCTGAAAACTCAGTTTTTCCAGAAACTCATTAGAGTTTGGTTGGATGGAAACAGACTGGAAACTCTCACTGTACCAAATTATGTTCTCTTTTCTATTGTCCACTATACTTGCCTTTTGAGTTTTGGTCTTGCAAATGATCTGAAATGTTATGAGATTTTTTTTGTTTTGTTTTTCTTTCGTCATAAGATCCTTTCTATTGTCATTCAATAGAAAAAAAAAACCAATAACATTGTATTACAAAATGCTTGTTAAATTACCTAACAAATTTTTTATTGCAGTGCAGTGATGCTGATCTTTTGGGAACTTCTGGAAGCATATTTTAAGTAGTAGAAAATACATCCTTACTTTAGTTTTAACTGGTGTGTACTGACATTACAGACTCCGAAAACAAATACTTGAAAATATTCCTAATAATCTTTGCTGGTGTTATTGGAACGAAGTACGACACATAGATGTTCATAATCCTCGCAATCGCTGGGCAGAAGCTTTTGGTGGCTGATTCATTTTACAAGGTTTGTGAACAAGCAGAACCCAAAACAAAGTTAATAAGGTAACTGAGAATCTCTGTGAATTTGGAACTGCGTGTAAAAGTGCGAGGTTATAAACGAAACTAAGCCTCCGCCTTAGACGAACCGGGGGTGTCGGCCGTGGCAGACCATGCATGACCGCCTCAATCAGTCGGTTTGGGACGGCAGGTAATTGCTTTGAAGGTTCGACAAGCGAGCTCCGTTCAATTAGCGTGCACCTGTCTGTCTCAGAATGAGTGCTCTGGCACTTAATGGACAGACAGTGAAAGGGAGGTAAATGCGAAATTGGTGCAGCAAAGGTATGACCGGTAAGACAAAGAGTAAAAGCAAGGGGGAAAACCAAGGTTTATGTCTTTGCAAATACTACTGCAACATTTCAAAAGTGAGGTATTTGTTCAATACGAGCTTATTTGAATAATTTTGCGTGTTTGAAAGTTAAAAGGCAAGTTTGATAGCTCTGAATGTAAGGTGCATATAATTTCGGCCTCTGTGCACTGCAAAGGGCCCAGCCTGGGCTGGTCCGGCTCACTGTTGGTCCGAGCCCTGTTCCACTCCGACGCTGGTTGTGTTTGCATTGAGCAGAGTGCAGCTTCAAAAGCGTGCAGAGATAATCTTATTAAAAACTAATTCCTGCTGAAGCTGCTGAGCCAAACTCCTCAGAGACAAGGAGGTTGCACTTTTTCATTCCTCATTGTGTCCCATACATCTCCTTCTGTACCCACTTGTTAGTGAGGAAGCTGAAGGGGGGAAAAAAGCCTCACCTTTAACTAAATCAATTGAAAAATGTTCTCATCTGAGTATCACCTCTGAGTTGAACTACCGCTCAGTGCAGCTCAGCCACTGTGGCTTGCAGGAACTCCTTGCACTCCTCCTACCGATGAAGAAACCCCTCGTTCTTAGAGTATCGTGCAAAAGGTTGATACTCTTCTTACATTCCGGTAACAAACTTCAATGTATTTTAAAGGAATTAGATGTGATCAACACAAACTGGAGCACCGTTTTTCGTGGTAAAAATAGAATACATTTTTGTCATGTTTTTTTTTTTTTTTTTTAACTTTTCACAATCAGAAGAGTAGTTATTGAGTCAGTACTTTGTACAACCACCTTTTACCTACAATTGCAGACAGCCTTTAGGAGTAATGTCTCTACAATATTTGCACATTTAGACACAAATCGTTGCCCATTTATCTTTGCAAAACAGCTCAGCCTCATTCCAATTAGATAAAGAGCACCGGAGAGAATCATATTTCAAGTCTTCCCACAAATTCTGAGTTGGATTTAAGTCTGGACGATAGCTGGGCCATTCCAACAAATGAATTTGCTTTGATATAAACTATTGCTCTGTTGCTTTGGCTGTAATGTTTAGGTTTGTTGTCTTGTTCAAAAAGGTGAACCACTGCTGTAAAATTTGACTTTAATATAAAAAAAAACAAAATGCTAAAAAGTTTAACAGGTCTGAATATTTTTACAAGACACAACATTGATGCACATGGACAGACGTAGGTTTCCATTGGCCTAAATCTCGTAGGTAATACATTTTATATTCTATTTTTACTGAAATTTTTGTTTTGTTCTTGTGTCATATCACAAATTAGTCAACAAAACAAAACAAAACAAAAAGAACAGCGATGTGCTGATTTCTGTCAGCTACATCAATTTGTTTTTTTTGTTTTTTTATTTGAATTTGAAATCAGTGTTCTTCAGCTCGGTGAACAGGCCTTTCATAGTTGCAGGCTTGGTCCACTGATAATTAAACTATAGTTCCACAGTAAGCAAGAGAATATTCATAAATGTCACATTAGTCACTTTTGCCGCTTCAGACTGAATTTGTTGGCACAAGTACTACTCGAATGAGACACACAGAACGTTGACGTTGTTTTCATTTTTTTTTTTTTTTTACTGGGATCTTTACTCTCACTGCCAACAACGCTGAGCTAAAACATAATTTTGTACCCTGCATAATGCAATGTTCGGTGCATTTCCTGTGTGGAATCGAGTCACAGAGTTGCGTGTGTGCGTTAGCGTTTGTGCTCTCACCTCCGCAGACCTCTCCCTCCATGTCCTCACACTGACGGTCGTCACACTCACAGTTTTTCCCATGAATGCGACTCTCCTCAGGTGGATGGCAAATACACTGTCCACAGATACACTGCCCTGGAAAAAAAAACACACAAGTTTGTTTTTAATAGATCTGATTTTTTTTTTTCTTGTTCACATACAACAAAGTCGTTGGTTTTAATTTTTTGGTGCTGGCCAAATGTGAGGAAATGTGGTCTTAACTTTGCTCTTGGTACAGTTACAGTACATGGGGGATTAATAACTCTGAACTTTTGACTAGTGAGGGTTAAAGCCAAGACTTAATAAACGGGACTCTTCACATTCAAATCCGTTGGTGTCACAGTGGAAACACTGACTGTTGGAATGAAAACTACGAAGCCTACTGTACAATTTGAGACACGGTTTTGCTTTCCCTGGCCTCAGCTTCTCTTTTACTAACTGTGAGTAACAAGACAAAGAAATCAAAACAAACAAACAAAAAAAAAACATATTGTCTTTATCAATTGTAGGGTTTTAAAAGGTTCTGGTCAACAGGGGTGAATTTTGAAGCAGCATACAGGTGTACCAGACGGCCAGAAGGGGTGAAGCTTCTGTGGTTGCAGAGGCAAAAACCAGGCTGAGAGAAGAAATCCAAGATTTTGGTAAAGGAGTTTTCGTTGACCTCAAGGAAGTCTGTTAAATTGCTTGATATGTCAGAGAGAGAGGTGACAGAGATGCGCCCGGATGTGTTGAAAGCTCTGGACATTGTGGGGCTGTCCCGGTTAGCACGCCTTCTCGGTGTCACATGGAGAACCGGGACAACATTAGTAGAGTGACAGACTTGAGCAACTGTCTTAATTTTGAGGTAAAGGTGCCAGAGGGTTTATTCTGGCTATTGAGGAATTCTACTTCTCAGCCTCCCTGGGAAAGTTCACCCCAGATTGTTAGAAGGGAGGCAAAGACAAATGATTGAATCAGCGATTAAGGAGGATTCCGTGTGATTTTCTTCCTGGCTGTGAAGCAGAGGACTAGATTGCTACCCTCACATGAATGCTGAGTGGGTTATGCGAGTTTGGTTGCCCACCCTACCTGCGTTTTGTGGATCTACAGAAAGTTAACGATTGCTTTTCCTGAGGAACTATTGCTGGGGTTTGTTGTGGGAGTACAAGATGCTGGGGATGCTTTCCAGGGCTATTCTTTCCCTTGTATGAGCAAAGCAAGAATTGGCGCCCACATTCTTGGCACCACGTTCAGCTTGTTTCAAGTGCATATTAGGATCCACCAGGGCCGCCCCTATTTCCTAATTGTGATTTTGGAACCTCAGAGTCTCATCTTTGCGTTTTGCAGATGACGTGGTTCTATTAGCGACTTCAGGAAATTAACTCCAGCGGGGAGCAGAGTGGTACCCAGGCGAGAGTGTGAAGTGGCCAGATCTTGTAAAAGCCCAATTATCCTAAAAAAAAAAAGTTAATATGCAGACACATACTCATGCAGCCTGTCATTCGTCCGTGTTCATGTCACATGTACTTTGGTCTGTCATCATGGACCTTGGGGATATGAAAGGCAGTCTCGAAGTCCATTCAATAATAAACAAAGTTTCCCCATTTTCTTGTTTAATTATTATTTGTATACCTGTTATCCTATTCCTCCGTTTTATCTTGTATCATTTATGTCTTCCAAATGTTAAAATTAACTTGTTGATTGGCAGCTGAATTTACATAGACAGAGTAAATGGAGGCAATCATTGATTTTACATGAGGCTGTCAAAAGGCTACAAAACCTTTTATGGAAATGCCACACTAATAAAGACACTTAAGGGCCGTATGCCCACTCATACCCGGTCCTCAAGAAGTTGCTATTCCACTTCAATCAGTGGGCTGTCGGTGAAGAAGACCACTGGGAAGGTGACTGATTGAACTTGCTGCTGCCTAATCATGACGATTGTTTGAAAAGCATTGTCTCTTCTGAACTACCACTGGAGTTCTGTGCAATGTATATCAGCAGGAATGTCAGACTAATATCAAAAAACTTAAATGGTACGGCACACATGGTGTCGGAAGAGTTAAAAGAAAAAAAGTTTGAAAAATTTCCAATTAAATATGATCTGAATTTCCTCTAAGTCCTGCTGAAGCACAGTAATAACTGGTGGAAAACCATTGCACCAATCTACAATGGGACCTGTCCATCTGCCAACACACTAAGGAAAATAAGAACACCTTAATCTAGACCTTCCAGTTCACAAAGGTCATTCAAGAGGCTGTTACTGGTCTTCATTTAACCCTTGTGTTGTCTTGCGGGTCAAAAGAGACCCACTAGCAAATACCCTAAACGATTTTTTTCCGACTTGAAATTATATTACTTTTCCTAAGTGGACCCCATCATTACAAAAAAGTGATACGTTGTTTGTGTTTATGTTTCTATGTTGACTGTACACCGCGAGGGTACAAGGACTGTCTTATGGGTCATTTTTGACCCGTGAATTACAAAACCATTTAAACACCAGATTGTAACACTGTTGATTGTCTTCTTTTATAATGACAAAAAAAAAGATAAAAAAATGAATTAAACTGAGTTGAATTGTTAAATAACAGATCGTTTCATCATGCAAAATTCAATTTATTTGCTTTATTTTATGGTTTTGGTAGTATGGGTCATTTTTGACACATAGGACAAGGGGAGCACAGAATGTTAAGATCGCACAATTTGTTAACAGAGTTAGTCATTTATTTTCCTAGGTGTAGAAACTTGTTTCTGTTTGTTGCTTGTAGGGTACACTCTTGGCTCTAAAGAACAGAAACACACCCAGGATGTGTATTTGCCTGGGTTTGTCTTCTGATGACTCACTGAGTTAAATTAGTAGCAATAAATAGTGCAGGAGAGAAATCTAAAAGACATCTACTTGACTGACAACAGCATCTAATGTGTTGCCCCTGTCACATTACTGACACTTTTTATGACCATGCATTTTTAAACATGCACACACAGACACACACACACACACACACACACACACACACCCCCACACACACAAACAAATGCACAAATTATGCTTATGGCAGTCCCTCTTCCTGCTACAAATACCACATGCCGCCATCTGCTCTGAGGACTCAGTTACCCTAGTAACCATTGATGTCATAGCACCTTCGTCTTATCAATTATCTCAGCAGTCACCAAACCGCTAACATCAGGACGTGTGCTTGTGTTTGTTTACTTTGTCATGCTGCCTTCAAAGACTGTGCCACATTGTCACAGTCTTTATATTTATATTATATATTATATATATATATATATATAAAATAAAAAAAAGTAGTGTTGAAAGCTAATCTCTATATACATATATATATATATATATATATATATATATATATATATATATATATATATATATATATATAAAATAAAAAAAGTAGTGTTGAAAGCTAATCTCTGGAGTTTTAATGATTGCTTAAAATGGTAACTCAAGTTAGAAAACTGAAAAGTGGAGTTGGATTTGAAGATGACGTCAAGCTCCTGCTAAAACAATAATGATCTTATATATTTTTTTTGTCATGTCTAGAAGACAGGTAAAACATCTTCAAGAAACAAGAGATGAATTTAGTTGCTTTCTGTTTGAGACCAAATTCATGTTGTCATAGCCACTCCAGTAGGTTAACTAAAGGGGACCGGGCCTTTCAGTCGGTGGTGGTTAATTTTCCGAAGCTTTTATCTCTTGATTTTTATTGTGTTTCTTATGTTGGTTTTATGTTTTGCATGGTTTTATGGTTGATTTCGATTGTAAAGTGCTTTGTGATGTCTGTGAAAAGGGCTTTATAAATAAATTTGACTAATATACCATGTGATGAAGCTCAGATTAACCCAATCTGATTTCTTATGCCATTCTCTATCCTCCAGTTGCTTCCACAGTCACCATATCTCAATCCAATAGAACAAGTTTCGGAAAAAGGATGGAACAAGAAATTTGTATCATTGATGTACAGCTGATTAACATTCAGCAACTGTACGATCCTATCATGTCAGAATGCACCTAAATGGAGCTCAATGTCAATGTCAGAAACACCAATTCTGGATCAGAATGTTCCAAGCATCCAGTTTTACATTAGCTGTACTAAAGCTAGCCAAGTGGCTTTCCATTTATATTGGTCTGCATAAATGTTTAAGAAAACATAGCATCCAAAGAGAACCACTTGGATGTAGGATGTAGGGCTAGCTAATCAATGCAGCGATACTCAAATTCCAAATGTACAGGATTAAAACGTAACAGATGACGTGTTTCTGCTACAAGTCGCGGAAACAAAATCCCACATTGCTGGGGTTACTCTGCTATTGTCTAACACAGACAACTTCATGCACACCAGAGAGAGAAATCCCAAGAATCGGAGAAAAAAAAAAAGTTGGAAGCAGGTGCTTCCTTAAGGAAATACCACAGTATAAAGAATGTGCTATCCACAAGCTTCTTGTCTCCACCACTCAGGAAGAAAGGCTCTGAAGCTGCTGCTTCAGATTTCAAGGCTTTTCCGCTCAAGCTGCCATCTGTACCAGCCGCATTCATCCATGCCTAAATGATTTTCAACGTCTGTCCCCTTCGCTTTCCCTCTTTTTCACTCTCTGACTCTCCTAAAGTGATTCCTGCCTCTGTATGTGTGTGTGTGTCCGTTTTCTGAGTTTTCACACCCTTCCACACTATTACTGAAGTGCTCTAATTTGTCATATGATATTTGGATTATTCAAACAACAATCCAGAGGCAAAACAAGCTGTACCAACGCTTCCACAACAGTGACCTCATCGGGCAATCGTGATAATAATTGCTACCCGAACAGGTTCTCTCCATAGTGTGCCACATTTGGACATTTTTAACTAACAGGAATAGAGACACGTGTTGCATTTTGTTTTCAGTGTGGGAGGAGTTTGAGTTTTGACGATGCATTTACAGACTTTATCGCTTTTCTTGGTCATAAATGAATTACAAAAAGAAAGAATGTGCTTAGTTCAGGGAATGCTCACTGCCAAGTAAAAGTAATTTTACTTGTGCACACAGCAATTTGAAGTTTCACTGAGCTCCAGCATTTGGAGATAATCTAGAGGTACCACTGGAGGAATTAAAGTTAATTAACTCTCCCGGAAAAAGTTAATCTTTTTTTTTTTTTCTTTTCTGCTTCATCATGTGATTGCAGGCACCGCGAGTCTTCAGCCTCGTTGTGGTATTAGTTTAAAGCCGTCACAATCGCTTTATTTTACACAAAACGTCCTAAGTAGTTTGTATATTAACATAACACTAAATTGGTCCTATTTTAAGCCTGCACTTATTGCCGCAGATCTGATGTTTTGTCCCATGGCGGTGTTTACTTTGTAATGGAGTTATCGCCATGGCAGCAGCCGGGGCCCTGCGTGGTTTCAGGTTCCTGATTTAATCAGCAGCTATGAGTGTGAGGGATATCTATGCCTGCTATAATAACACGCAACACACAAAAGTGCACATGTCATCTCTTTTGATTTGGAACAAAGCGGCCGCTGAAAAGCAGGAGAGTCCCCGTTGACCTCCCCCGCAGTCAAATGAAACATGAAATCAATGCTTTGCGTTAACCCCTGGATAAATCCAGAAGCGGCGAGACCAAGCGGGTTAAGTCTTTGTGGTGTCGCCCACCTCCGTCAAAATTATTAAGTCGAATCGGTAATTCGGCGGCTTTCACCACGTTCTCTTTGCAGCTGCTGAATCTGTCAGGTGTTGTGGGGAAAACCACAAAGAGGTTCACAAACAACATGGGCAGAACAAAAGTACAGAGAAAAGCTGAAAACTTTTGAGTGATTCTATTTCTTTCCAACATTTTCAAAGAGCAAAGCAGTTTAAAGATCAGGAATACTTTAAATATAATGATAAACTTGGGTTTTAGAAGCTCTGCAAGGTCTATTAGTTTAATGCAGCATCCCAGCATGATGCATGAGGGTAAGAGGATAATGAAGAGCTAAGAGAAAACAAACAGCCACCATACATTTTCTTCAAGCTCCTGAAGCTGGCAAGTCAAACACATTGCCATTGTCTAAACCTATTTGCAAATGACAAAAAAAAAAAAAAAAAACTGCCAAAAAAAAAATGGGAACAAACCTCAAAAGGACCCCCCCACATCGTTTCACTTGGCTTTAAGATGCACAGCAAGTGTTGCAAACAGTGAAGATCTCTCGACTTCAACAGTTAAAAGAGCAATGCTACAGATTAATTAGTGCTGAAAACAGATTGGTGGCATGACTTCACTGTCTTCCTATTAAGAGTCAAATATATCTCTGATCATTTACCCGTCACGCCGTACAAACGTTCAAACATGGCGGTGGTGTCATCATTTTAACCAAAGGTTAGTGTGACAAGGGCAAGAAGACCAGTCTGAAACCTATTGAAAGTTCTTGACACTTCGAGGAAAAATATGAATACATACAAGTCAGAACAAACTACCTTACCCAAATCTGGCTTTTTAAAGCCCTGAATGCCTTTTCAGGTTAGATTTTACAATTTTTCACAGTTTGTGTTTAAGAATTCTAAACAATCATTGTGAAGTTCTGATTGTAGATTGAAAAAAATAATTTAAAAAAAGTCCAGAATCCATTTTAACAGTGTTAAAAACAGCTACATGTGAAAAACAACATGTTACCTTGAGTCGCAATCTGGCTTTTTAACATTGCCATTGGTAAAAGGCTGAGACAAGTTCAACTTGGACATTTGATTTGACAAGTGGCTCCTGAACAGCTGTCTTCAATATTAAATATGTGTAATTAATATGAAATATGTATTATATACAGTTTCACAACTCAGGGCACACAGACTTTTCAAAAAAGTATTTTAAGTGCAATCTATGCCTGTAAAAAGTTGGCTACATTTGATGTATGGCATCATAAACCTGAATCCATTTCTTAGATTTTGCAATTATTTCATATATGAAAAAAAAAAAAACGAACAAACAAAACAAACAACAACAAAAAAAACACTGAAGTCTATGCACCAGTAAAGGTATTGCAACTATTTGGACAATTTGTGGTGAAAGTTGTTTTCTATTATCCACTCATGTTGTCCTCTAAAAAAACATCACAATGTGACTGCAATACAAAAAAATATATATATATATATATATATATATATATATATATATATATATATATATATATATATATATATATACTTGCTCAAGACCTTAGTTGCCCAATTGAAGATCAAAACTAGAGCTGATAGAAATAGGATATATATGATGTAAGACTACTGGAAATTGCTTGTGTAACAAACATAAGCACAATAAAAGTTTGCACCAGAGACCTTGGCAAACAAGGGATACCTCGTCCATTGCAGGGTAGTTTTGAAGTTCCTCTGCATTTCTTCAGGCTGCTATCCAAAGACAGTGAGCAACTTAGAGGGTGCTCACACTTCTTTCCTGTCCATCCATCCTTGCAGTCACACCTGCCACAGTTACACTGACCATGACCTGCCCAGAGAAAAGGGGAACAGCTAAAAGAAACCAAGAAGAAAATACATCTAACCGAGAGAGAAACAGAAACAGAAATCATCCCACCTAACATTTTTAAATCATATAGAAGATTCACCTGAATGGCTGCGATGTTACACCGAAGTATTATCAGTTATAAGCTTTGTGTTGATTGTTAAGAAAGGGAAGCTAAAGGTATGCTAAAGTGTCCTTTGCAAGCATGCATTTAGCCTCATTAGAAAACACTCCACAAATTTTCAAGTAATATTCTGACCTGAACAGAAGTCGTCAGTGTATCGGTCGTACGTCGCATGACAGTTCCTCTCATCGCACTCACAGGTGTCTCCGTGGATGTCCCCCCAGTCGCCAGAGGGATCTACATCATGGCAGGTGCATTCCCCACACACACAGGTACCTAATGCAAAAGACAAAAAGGACATGATGTCAATTATGTGGTGCTACAGCACATCAGTGGAATGAGGGGTCTTTACGGTTATTTGGAAGTACCGACTGCGTTATCCATCGGAAGGATACAGGTTATTGATAATAGCTTACAATGAGATAATGTTATGATTCGCAAATGCGACCCAATGAGGTCCAATTTGTAAAATAAGGCCTCTAAAAACAGATTAAGCGTTTTTATACCTAATTTGCATTCTACATTTTGTCCAGGTACAAATATAAAATTTCATTGTAAGTTTTTAGATGTTTTTTTTTTTCTTTTGATAAACCAGCATGACGTGGTGCTTCATTAATAAGTCAGTGAAAAACAAAAATGTGGTTTTCAAGTTTACTTACAGAAATGAATGTAAAAAAAAGAGCGTTATTAGTATCCAAACCTTGGCACCTCTCTTTTCCTGTACTCACTTACACCAGCTGCTCTTCTCGCTCAAAAGATGAACGTCATTCCGGCTCCTGTAAGTAAGTTTCTGACCTCAGTAACAACAAGCGCAGCACCTGTTCAATGCTGTCTGGCACAGATGGAGAAAAAAAAAAAAAAACTATATCAACACTACTGCCACGAAAGATATTACAGTTTGTGCAACACCAACATCAAACAAAGGAGTGGTGCTCTTTTGAAGCGGCAAGAAATGAATGGAGAATGTTTTCCTGGTGAGGATGGAGGAGTGCAGCAGATTGAAGTGAAGCCTGTGTGACTGCGAGGGAGCGGATTTCATCTTAGACCCAATGGGTGTCTCTGCTCCGCTGTACCATGGAATCGACTCCGCGGCACATATGATGCACCCGTTATGGTCAATGACAGCGTTTACGACGCCTCCGCACAGCAGCGGAAGGCGTTGCCGTGCGCAGTTAGAGCCAATCCTATTTTTGCCAGACGCCAGAGCAAGCGCTGGGTCAGTCTTCAAAGGCCCGAAATTTCAAAATAATTCACAGAGACAGACTATGTTTACTGGAAAAACGACCTATATTAATGTATGCATTCATGTAAGCATGGTTTATGTCTATGCATGAAAGAAAATGCATGGATTTTACTCTGAAACTTATGGCGTCACGTTCTGTTGCTCGAGTCGCAGCAGGAGTGTCTGTCGGGGCGGATGAAGTGGGAGAGAAACCGATGGAAAGATAATAATTTTAGAAGTTGAGAACTACAGTGCTTTATATGATACCTCTTATCTGTTTTATGACCAGATTTAGTGCACAATCTTTCATTTCCCACGTGTGCTTCTTGGGGTTCACAGCGGAGCGAAATCAGGGTGGCCAGGAACATCTCCAGTCCAAGTGTGCAGCAGAGCGGAGCAGAGACGCATGCAGTGTAAATCCGGGGTTACACAAACAGCAGTCCTCCTGTTAAGTGAAGATTATTTAGACAACTTGCCAGAAGTTATTTAGTGATGTGTAATAACACCAAGAGGGGAACGTATTGTTCCAGTTTAACACTTAGACCCAGAAGAGAATTTGGTAAATAAAGAGCAAATTAACATAGAGTGAAACCAGCTACTAGAACACATCTTATGTATTTTGGTAGAATCATATTTACTGGTTTACTTCTGATGTTATTTAATTTTCTTTATGGAAATATTATTTTGTGGCAATATATTTTACTCCTGTTGAGTTAGCACTCCGAATCTATTTCATCCTGCTGCGTTTTAAACTAGAAGAGAAACAGATGATTTATTTAATGTAAAACAGGCATAAAAAAATAAATGCCGCTGTTGTCAGCGTTAAAACAAAGCGATTAATTTAATTTCTAATTAATGTTTAACTATTTATGTACACATTTTAGTTTTGCCTTCTTTGAAACATTAATAAACCTGCTGACAAGGAATCATCTCTCTTCAGTATCTTAACGTTAAGGAGGCATTTTACTGATTGTCAACCATGTGGTGCACACACGTCGAGGGCAGCACATCCTGTAAAAGTAAGCAGGTTCAATTCAAATGTAATTACACACATTCCAGTACAGACCAATTAAATTTAGCTCATAATCCAAATCAGTGCAGTCAGACTGAATAAATTGCCCAGGAATAAAATGTTGCCTTTCAAAGGAAGCCAGCAGATTGCATTTGTTAAAAGGTGCTAAGGTTATTTGATGGGTGTTCTTTTCATTGACTTTCAGCAGTTCTTTTTTTTTTTCCCAGAATCATTCCAGCATACCAGAAAATTTAATATTCATGACTAAATTTATTCCAAAAATTGCCTTCCGCCTTCTCTAAAGATCTGTTTTTTTTTTTTTTTTTTTTTTTTTTTTTTTTTTTAATGTTTTATCTTGTTGGGTGGTGTGGGGGGGGGAACTGCCTCCAAAATGAATTTCCCTTTCCTTCAGCCTTTTAAATCTTTATTCCTTCATTTATCGTTTTCCTCTTTTCCTTTCATTTGTTTAGCATCTTAGCCCAGGCGTTAGCAAAGCAGCAGCCGGTGGAAACCCATTTCCTCTTATCGGCGGAGACAGAGCACCGGGAGCCCCGGGGGAGAAGGCCAGCTGGCAGGCCGGAGGGGCTGAGGCTGCCGCATGTCTGCCCTGTGGCTGAGCGTTCAGTCTTCCTCACCCCCTCATAACCCCGCAGTCCTGGATTAATAGATCCATGAATTCATTGTCTGTCACAAATCTCATGGATGAACTGAAGAGAGGTAATAGAAACACCTTTATTATTTTCTAAATGTTGCAGTTATGCTATATGTTTTATCCAGACATAAACCGACACTCTGCCTCTTCTCTGTCTCTCTGTCTCTCTCCATATAAATATATTGCAGCCATCAGTGTTAAATAGTTCTGATTACAATGAGTCATGTTACTGGCAGCCTTTGGCAGTTTGCTTCTGTTATATCTCATCCTGCCTTGTGGGAAGGCTAGGTGAGCCAAGCAGGAGGTTTGATGCTTCGGTGAGTTAAAAGAGAATTATTGTATCTGCAGGTCAGATCATTAAGCTATTTATCCCACAGTGTCAGAAGAAAAATGATCAGCCAAGGAAGGGATCCTTTTGACTGCTATTGAATGTCTGTTTTTAAGGGTTCTTTAACAGATTAACAGTATTCAGTTTTTTTACAGTGAGGAAGGTTTTTTTTTTTGGTTGATTTTATTCCTTCTGGTCTCTTATTGCTAAGGTTATTCGTTTTTTCTTTTTCTTTTTAATTACAAAAAATACATTATTATTAATATTTTTACTCATCTATATTTGCTGCTTGTTGTCCCATGCGTTCCATTTTCATGTATTTTCTTTAACTTCGTTTAACTTTGCAGAGTCTGACGTACTTCAATTTCACTTACCCCGCTGTCGATCCAAATGTTCTTCCTCTCTGTTTTGGTATTGTCATTTCTTTTTGTTGCTTCATCTCTTCACCACTCTTTCCCTTCGCCCCAGAAGACGTAAAGTAAAGGCCCTAACCCACCAAACGACTGCATTTGTTTTGCGCACGCAAAGACAGAACAAAACCAGACTTTGGCATAGCAAAGAGACAGTTCAGTTCAGAATTGTGTGCAAAGCAAATAAAATGTGTCTGCGGTTTAGAACAGCTTTGACTCTGGAGCAAAGACCTGACGCAAATAAATGTGCAAATTGCTCCTCTCAGTGCCTTTAATGTTTGCACCAGCATGTTATTTTTATTAATTGCCTTGTTTATCATAGTCAGATGCAGCACATAAAAGACAAAAGAATAAAAAAAATGGACCCAGGTGCAATGAAAAATAAATCTAATTTATTTTAGAGTAGTTCTTCCTCATTTGCATAAAAAACTTTTCTTCCTAAATAATTACCAGTGATTACAGAAGCTGAACCTCTCAAAGCTCTCTCACTGGGAAAAACGACATCTGCAACACAAAACTGGCCATCCTGGTATACTTTCTTCTTCTTCTTCTTCTTCTTCTTCTTCTTTTTTTTTGTTTTGTTTTGACAGTTGTGCTCTTGACCAGAACTTGCGGCTCTGTGATGGGACTCCCATGCAGCCTCATTTCATCCAACCGGTTACCAGGCCCTCAGCCAGGCCGCTGTAATTAATTTTCGAGAAATTCACTGAAATCCTGGAGGAGCACTTCAGTTAACTTAAATGAGATATTCCGCTGATTGCTTCCTCGCCATGCTCTGATGAGTCACAGAACATGATTCTTTTTAAGGCAGTCTAGAGTCTGCGCTGCATTTAGTTCTGTATTTTTCCTGACTGTTTCATAACTTGGGCTATTCAAACAAGATGAAAAGCACTGACCCGGTGTTTCCATGTTACATGTTAATTTAAAGCGACATTTTGCACAAGCCCTACATCCTGCTGTTTTAAACAATCCCTTCCTTGAAGCTGCTTTTTTCACGAGAAGACTGATTAATGTCAGAAACTTGATGATTTATCATTTAATGGCTGAAATGAAGATGGTCTTATTTTTATGATGATGATGATGATGATGATGATGATGATGATGATGATGCACAAATTAGAGTTATTTTATAAAAGGTAAAATCTGGAGGGAAAGACGAATGTAAGGATATGTTTTATTTTTCGAGGTGAATTTCATTCTTCTGATGACTTAGACAAGAAACTGAACTGCGCCTCTTTAGCTTGTTTCTTGTTTCTAGGCAACACAAATACAATGAAATCATTACAGTGACGCTGTTTATGTTAATAGGTCTGAAGCTCATTATTCCTCCCTCTCCATTCTGCAGTTTTATGGTTTTGCAAACCACCGTCAATATCCTAATGTACCGGATGATCGAAAGAAAATTTGCCCAAGTTTATTTATGTGAAATAAAGTTATGATTCTTCACAATCAGATATTTAACTTAGATCAGTTATGATTTTCTGGAATAGTTCTGTATTTTCTTTATACACAATAATGCTTTTTTTTTTAGTTTATGTAATGTCTCATGTTAACAGTGAAGAGGACAAACAAACCTCTGTTGCTGCAGATTTTGCCATCTGGTGATGTGCATTTCCGCTTGCTTTCCCATGGGCTGATGTCACACTGGAACTCACATTTGTCTCCATGCCAACCAGCAGCACAGTAACAGTTTCCACAGTAACACTGGCCATGGCCTGGAAGGACATGGAAGAACTCATGAGTTCTCATGCAAGAGATTGATAGACATACTTATAGATTTTTAACAATCTTACTTTTGCAGAAATCAGATTTGATATCACTCTTGATTTTGTCATTTCTACTTTTGCACATTTGTCAAACATAAACATAGATCGTTTGCAAAGCTCTATCAGCCGGCAGCTTTAATGTCTGGCTTTGCAATGCCATTGCAAAGATTTTTATTTATTTTTTTGATAAGATAAAGAATGCATTTCGCATATCACCACAAGATTTACAATCTGAAGTCAGCAGCAACATTTCTTTCTCAAGAAATGAGTTTGAAACTTTGAAATTGTTGCCTTGCGTGTGTAAACTAAAGCGATGCTACTCATGACTGACTCCATTGAACAGATGTTGAACATCGCTTAATGTCTAATATTGAATATGCAGTGTAATGTAGCACATTTGATGTGCTGCTGCAGGCCGGGACATGAGTAAGTAGCATGCAGGCGGCACTGTACAGTATGTTGAAAAAAGGTTCCTCTCCTTTAACATTTTCCTTTTTTGTCAGGTATCAAATACGTCAATGCATTTCATTAGGATTTTATGAAAGAAAACAACTCAAAGCAGTGCATTAATATGAAAGGGAATAAAAAAAGACTCACAGTTTTCAAAATATTTTAGACATCTGAAATGCATTTGTGTTCTGGCGCCGTTAACCTGATGGCTCTGAATGAAATACAATCCTACCAACTGCCTTCTAAAGTAACAAAAAGTAAATCCAGTGCACTAAAGAGCAGTATATAGAAAGGACAACTATTATAGGCTATATGGAAGAGTGGGATCGAGCAACCCCTCATGGAAAGAGAACCATACAAAGTATCATCAAATATTCATCACACTCAACTTTTGGACACATCAAATATTTGGGAAAAGTGCTCTAGTCAGGTGAAACAAAAGTTGAACTTTTCGGCCTACATGTATGTGTTGCAGAAAATAATCTGTACACACAATCTCCAGAAGGAAGGATGGCTCCAGCACAATGACGTACAGAGGGATAGAGGGGGGAAAAAATGGCCAAAAATCTATCAGCAGATTAGTGAAGCTGGTAACGTTTCAATCAAGAAATTTACAGCTGCTTAGTATTGTACTGGGAGATTTGGAGGGATGCAAATTGATGGCACAAGTACTGAGATTTCGATTTGAAAAATTCAATTGCTTGGTTACGTGCTAATTTGTGATAACATATCATGTCGTAACTTCAAATGTAACAAAATGCAAGGCGCCGTATATGATCTTTCTTGTCCTTTCTCTTTGACCAGATGTAGATAAGTGCAGAGTCTAGGTGCCTTTATGGTTCCACACCTGAGACGCTGATCCTAGACACGCAAAACCTAACTGCAATCTTTAAAATATATCTACTTTTTACCAGTAGATCAGCAGACGTTCAGTTGCAAATTTAATGCACAAAACAGATAAAGAGGGTCATAAAAGTACGAGTGCTGCCAATCTCCAGATGTCTTATCTTCATTAAATTGTCAGTAAAACTCATTTGTTTCTCATTGCAGTGTCTCTAATAGTTGAGCAACTGTGAGTGTAATCTACCTCCACAAACCTCTCCCGTGTCTTCATCCAGACATTCGCCGTCGTCACATTCACAGAAGCGTCCCGTCACTAAGCCCTTGTCGTCATTTTGGTCACACATGCAACTCCCACAGTGACAGGTCCCTGCAAAAAAAAAAAAAAAAAAGATTCTTACACACAGCCACCTAGCGGCTCTGAGTTTGTGTTAAAACTTTGCAGTAGATACTTGCATTTAAATGGTAAAAGTGTGAGTACAATATTTTGATGCAGTGAACTGGGAGATTAAAGAATCTGGTTTACAGCTGTTCATTGGAGGGAAGTATTTTTGCATCAAGTGCCAACAGGTTTAAGCTGGTGTTTGACAACTAGAGGTGGTGGTGTGTGTGTGTGTGTGTGTGTGTGTGTGTGTGTGTGTGTTTGCATGTGTGCTGGAGCTTTTTGGATTAGGTGTTGAAGAAGCAGAAGGCTAAACAGACACATGCGGTGAATACATTAGCATTTCTACATATTCCAATAGGCCACATCCTATGCTTTCACACACACACTCTTATACACATCCCACACGGATACGCACACACCCACTCAGACGTGTTTGTTCCTCATTTAGCTGAAAGCATTTGAGATGAGTGGAGAGGGCGAGCCCAGATGGGCAACTGGCTGTACGTGCCTTGACCGACGGCTGACCTAACATCATCCATGCAACATTGAGACACACACACACGGGATCGAATTATACGTAGAGGAGATATTAGGGGATAAAATATTAGATTGTCGTAGTAGCATTCTTAGACGTCTTTCAAAGTTTTTCTTTGGACATTAGCTGCTTAGTTAAATTTAAATGCTAGGTAGCAATTCACCAATTCACAAATGCCTTTGTCCGGTCTAAAACGCGCTTGTGTGCACCAAGTGTAGTAGGTGGAGAGTATTTGACATGCTGTAGGCTTTCACAATGCATTCAAAACACAGGAAGATAGCTGTTAATACATCTTTATGTAGTTTTTTTTTTTTTTTTTAAGAAGGACAATATCTTCTTGAAATATGTAGAGACTCCTGACCAAAGCAGAGGAACATAAAAGCTGTCTTTGAAGATATCAGCTGGCTCTTGAAATTGTCTTTTTTTATTTTTATTTTTATTTTTTTTTAAAGTAGTGCATAATAGTGAAGTGGAAGAAAAAAGATGCAGGTGGTTTCACATTTTCTTTGCAAAAGAAAAATCTGAAAATTATGGCATTTTTTTTCTAATCTATTTTAACCATTCTTCTGTGCCAAAACAGAACAACTTCAGTCAGATTGGCTAGAGAGAATGTAAACATGTATGTTCAAGTCTTGATAAATATTCTCCCCTAGATTTAGGTTTAACTTCCCTGACAATGAAAAGCGTCCAAACAGCTAGCTGCTGCCAGCACCTTGTTTCCCAGTGGGAGGTACTGTGTTCAAGCTCATCTTCACTCTTATTTCTCTGCATGACAGCACGTGTTGAATTTGGGCCAAAATGTTCTGGTCTCATCTGACTAGAACACTTAGTTTTGTTTTTTTATTCAAAAATAAATCTCTTCTTGCCATTTTCATGAATGAATTCCCTACAGTTGTCTTGTCAACAGATTTTTCCATCTCAGCGGTGAAACTCAAAAGCTCCGTCAAAGTAACCAGGGTCCTTGAAGATTATTATTCTCCTTTCCTGCCTTGTTCGGTTTAGGTGTAACTGCAATTTATCGAGGCGGGTGTCCGTGTGTGCCGTTGGGCACCATTTCCCCCCCCCCATTTTTGTGCTTCTTGTGATGTTCAAATCTTGGACTACTATTTTAGAACCTAATCCTGCGTTATATCATCTCCACATGAGCATCCTTGACCCGGTGGGTTCCTTGGTCTTGATGACGTTGTTTGAAAAAAACGCTTTTCCGCTAAACTCGGCGGCCTTCACAAGAACGACAGTATTTGTGCTGAAAATAACACATCATTGGACTTCACCTAAAGGTCAAACAATTGCACGTTGCAATTTCCACTTTTGTTTTGTAAAGGTTTTGGAAAACACATCAATTTATTTTTGCTTCGCTAATGATGCACTACTTTGAGTTTGTCTGTTACATAAAATCTCAAATCCTTACACTGAAAGTTTGTGGTTGTAGCATGACAAAGTGTAAAAAAAAAAAAAAGAAGAAAAAAAAGAAACAGTCAAGAAGAAGTAGGATTAACTTAGGATCTTTGCAGTAGATTTGCAGCCTTCTGAACCTTGTTGTTTTTCGGACGCTGTGTGTTGGTGTATTGTTGCAGTTACCTCTGTTGGAGCAGACCACCCCCTGTTGATTTTTGCACAGCTCTCTGCTCTTCTTGCTTGATAGGCTACACTCCTCCTGAAACTGGCAAGCCTCTCCAAACCAGCCTTCGTCACACTCACACATCCCACAGTCACAGTAGCCACGATCTGAGGGGAAAACATAGCACACCACATGCTGTTTATAAGTGCCGGGAAGCGTGCAGGTTACCGGCGCTTCACATCAAAACAAGGACATGAACGTTATTTCGTAGTCTGACATTGCGCTTTCAGGTGAATGGGGTTGTGTCATAAAATTACTATAGGTAAATGTTTTTTTTGTTGTTTTTTTTCTTTAAGCAACCTCTACCAAGTTTTCCAATGGCTTTGACATGCCAGCATCCCGTATGAATTCATCCATGAAAACACTTCTGTGTGCTCAGACACCCAGATAGACTGGCATCGTTGTATCTCATTATTCTGATGGTCACACTGAGCAACATGAAGACGAGGAAAAAGGAGGAAGCATTTGATGCAAATGGAAGCTGTCAACAAAGTTATTATGAATGTTGCTCTCGTTGCCTGTTAGCAGTGAGGGACCTTGTATGTCATGCTCGATACTTCTCCAGACTCGTTCATCATGTAAATGTGGCATTGTTTTGAAGGGCTATGCATCAGTCATTAAGAACATGGAGGCCCCCTCATCTCTTCTCGTTACGGAAACGTCTCTGGGGGCTCGTCCAAGGAAAACTCACTCTTGAAAACAAAGTAGAACTGGATATATCGCAAATTGCAGAGTAAGAGTGCACCTTGACTGCAGTTTACCTGGCCGGAAAAAAAAAACAAAAACATCTAATTAAAAGAATTATTAAAATGCATTCTCTAATCTGAGATATGAATTGAGTATTTGAGTCAAGCTTTGTTTTTCTAACTTGCCATATATGATGTTATATTGAAAAACACAATATGTAGAAAAATGTCACTTTGTTCAGAGTGCTTTACATCATAAAACCATCATACAGTCATCAATTATGAAACAAGAAATACACATCAGGTCTTGTCAAATGCTGTTATGAACAAATGTCATAATCAAAATCATCAATATACAAGAGATATGCTGATCAATGTTTAATTTGCTACTAATCAAATGCAACCCTGAACAGGTAGGTTTTTAGCCTTGATTTAAAGGAACACTGTGTTTCAGCTGTTTTGCCGTTTTCTGGACTTTTGTTCCAGATTTATATTACATATAAGCTGAATCCTGCTTGTCCGTGGTTAATTCTGGTTCTGAGGATGCAGATTAGACCAGAACCACTCAGATCTTGTGGTTCTGGTCTAATCTGCATACCCACAACCAGCTGTTACCATAACAACAAGTTGCTATAAACTAACAAAAGTATTTTAAACTCCATTCTCTTAGTATCAAGCATGTTGCATGCAGGGCTGAATGAACGTGCATCAGTGAAGACTGTCAGTCTGCACGGTCCAATGCATGCTGTTGATTTGTCTCAAATGTCAGCGCTCACGTCTGTGACACACATTTGCTATTTGTTCTGGTGTTGCTATTATTAGTGATACAAACAACAGGTTTCTCACTATTTAATGCACAAAAGAAACACATATACAAATTGATATTTTACAGAATTAACGTCTGCTATCGATTTAATAAAATACAAAAAAAAAGAGTGATAACAAATAGGATATGCCAAATGAGCTGCAGTCATATTTTGCTTTACAATCATAGAAATTGCCTTGTTGGTGAAATGTGCTATACATATGTAGCATAGTAATAACGCTACATTATTACTATGTAGCATAGTAATAATTATTGGACACAAAAATTGGATACATACATCTACTATCAATCACAAAGATACAAACTCCTATTGGATTATTTGATAAAATATTGAACCCAGCGTTGCTGCAGTCTAATTTACTGACGTGTTCTTTTTGTATTTACCCCTTAAGGCTTTTGCAAATAGTAGACGGCAAAACTCTGAGACAGAATCGGATATTATAAAGTCACTGCCGCCCACCAGCCATCATTAATCTCCATTTGACAATCACTTAGACACATAAAACAGCCCGCTTTGTCTTCTAGGTCAAAATTTATGTGGGTTGGAAGCTTCCTGTCTTTGGACAGTTTATCTTTTTTGGTGCTTCCCTGAGCAGTAATTCTATGTGATATAATGTGTCAGGGCCATTGCAGCATATTCCACTGACAAACAGACGTGTACAGCAAAAAATCCTGAGCGGTGATCGCACGCATTCTCCGGGGACTGGTAGAAGAGGACGTGTGTGTGTGTGTGTGCGTGGGTGTGTGTGTGTGCGTGTGTGTGTGTGTGTGTGTGTGTGTGTGTCAGCACTACCAGCAAAAATAATTGGCGTGCAAAAAAAAAAAAAAGCATGTGCTAAACAATTTTCTAAAAGCTAGATGACTAGATATAATCATCTGTCAAACATTTAAAATATCCTAACTGTAATGAAGCATATGTTGTGCAGGGATCATTAGATACCCCTCATTTACTAAAATGTTCATAGAGTCAAACAGCCTGAATTGGTTTAGCAAGCTAAAGAAGATTTGTCCTGGGCCAATGAAGGAGTCATTGATGTGCTGTGGTTCCCCTTAAGCAGCAGAGCTACCTGAATGTCTTGTGTGTAAAAAGAGAAAAAAAGGGAAAAAAAAAGAGGCTTAAACATTTGAAATGATGATTCCAGTAAAACTTTGTGATAGAATTTTCTAATCACTAAATTGGAGGACGTGTTCAGATAACGGAGGTTTCATTGACGTATGTATGTAGTGTGTATTCACAGGTTTTGGTGCTGAATGTCATTATTGTGGTTTCCAGATCATGAAATAACTATTGTAAAACACATTATAATCGATCTCTATGTGGAACCACCAGTCATTATTACACAGGCAGAAAGAAGAAAACTTGCTCTCTTGCAGCTGTGAAATGTTTTATTCTTGTAATCATTTGTGTATTTAAATCTTTGGTTTTTATTGAATGTGCACTCACATGAGCTTCTTGGACAGTTTAGTAAATTAGAAAATTACTGAAATGTTCATTTATTTCAGATTAATTGCACACAGGCTGCTGTTTTCAAGTCTTTGCTTCTGATATTCTTGGCGGTTTCCAGTCAAAGCTAATGAAAACATGTAATTTAGCTTTTCAGAAGATCAGAATATTAAATTAAATCAATAAAAAAAAACAGAGAATAAAGAAATGTCAGCTCAATAAGAAGTATGTTCAATACCTAGCCTGTTTTGAAAAAAGTACATTTAATCTGACAAACTAATCTTGTCTGAAGGTGTTTTAACATTTCTTTATTTATATGCTGTTGTATATGGTGTTGGTTAAGCTCCAAAATTAAGTTAACTGAGAGTTTAAACATCAAATAACTCCAACAAAAATTATACTATCTTCATAATAAACTAGTTCAAGCTTCAGAGAGCATCTGTTTTTCATCTCCTCACATTTTTTTTGGTTTAAGTTGCATTATCCAAAACATGATAATCATATCAGAGTATTTTTAATCATTTGTGCCGTCCATAGCCTGGCGTTTGGGAGCAATGAAACAACAACATATAGATTGTGTGTTCTGTGAAACAAAAACCGCCTGTCTCATCAGCTACCAACTCGTTTTCTGTGTGTCTTTGGAACAATAAGTCTTAGCCCTTACCATCCCAGTTTTTACAGTGTTCCACCTAACCAGTTATTTTTAACATAGCTGACATCAAAGAACTTTCAAAGGCGTCGTAGGTGGGTTTAAAACACTTGCTCTTACACCCTGAAGTCTTGAGAGCGGTAATGGGTTTCAATCAGAAATGTCTTTTACTAGTCAACTTGGACAAACTTGAGTGGCTTTTTCTCCTCGCAGCCCACACTGGAATCATTAGGTGAGTCACGGGGAAGGCAAACTGCCCAGAAAAACTCAGAATAGCAGATTGAAAGCACATAAAAATATGTACAGGAGAAAAAAAATTAGAGCGATGAAAATTTCTAAAGGTTTTAATAGCAAAAAAACAGCATTTTATAGCTGCTACCGTTTTGCTTTATTCTCTCTCAGCCGATATTTGGCTTAACCTTTTTGTTGACTATAGACATTACTGATAATATTCTCCATAATTGGCCAATTTTAGCTTGGATAAAGTGTCATGAAGCGCGACTGATGCAGGTTGATATGGAACAAGAGACCAAGCTGACTATCCTTGTGACCCTGACACAAAGACATAAAACCTCTATGGGTGTGCTGTTTGCAAGCTCTTGAAGAGGCCAGAAAAGCAAGGAAAAAAATCAGAGCAAACCAAAACGAGAAGACTGGGCAAGCCTGCAGACTGAGAGAAAAGGAGCGGGAAGTGCTAAAATATGTTCCTACAAAGCATTATTGATCATAGAGCAAATCTTTATTCAGGAAATGAACAGAAGTATGCATCACTTTCGAAGCGCCTCCTACGATGTTTTCTGCTCAAGAAAGGAGAACATCTGCCTCATTTTCTCGTTTTAGTTTTTTTTTTTTTTTAATGAATTAATTCTGTCTCTAGAATATCCTCATTTAAGATTGTGTCTCTTGAACTCATATTTTGCATGACTGTATTTAAATTTTTTTCTCAACGGGGTGTGTAGATACTGATAAACAACATGGCAGGTGGGGTTGAAAGCAATATGACTCAACTTGGACATGTCCCATTCAAGAATGGTATGCACGCTTCATGTGCATACCAAATGGTACTTAAATTCCCAAAGTCAGACCAGGTGTTAAAGAATTTCATAAATCTTCAAGCAGTATCTTCCACAATCGTGCTTTTACAGCATAACTGGATTTGATTTTACAAAAAGGAGTTCAAAAGTAGTTTGCAGGAAAAGGTAAAATGACTCAAGGAAAGAAAAACAGAGTCAGAAACTTGGAAAGAATAATGTTCCTCATTTCTGAGTAGTAAATGAGGAATGTAGAAAAGTGGCAACACTTTGCTACATTGATGACAAATGACAAAATAGTTTAATCAACAATTATAAAAATTCATGAAAGCCTCAACAGATTGCATGTAACGTAGCTTAGAATATTCTCTCACCGCTACCCGGTATGTTGGCACAATCAACAATAACGCTTGTTTAGAGCTTATTTTTTAATATTACACTTTCTACTAAAGAGCAGAGGTTGCAAGGATA